TCAAACAGAATCGTCTCATTGACCTTGTTTCCAAAACATTAAAGATATTTTATTTCTAAAATAATTAACTGATCAAAATGTTTAAACATTTCTATTATTTATTATTATTTTTGTATTATAAAAGCAATATAGTTTACATTCTATGAAGGAAAGTCAATTTTTATTGGCAGAAAATTTGACATAGTTCATTTTTAACTTTCCAAATTAAAGGAAGCATAGAGGTTTAACTTTACGATATTAGCCTAAAGTCAGTCAAGAAGAAAGCATGACTCTTAATAAATGTGGATCTACTTCCCTTTGAAGATGTCTTTGAAAGCAGCAATAGCAGGGAAAGCAATGGAGATCTTCTCTCTAGCACTGAATTTCAAAGGCCTTATTTGGCCTATCTTCCACATAGGATGAATCAGAAAACGTTTTTGCCCTTTATTTTCCATTGTGAGATATCTAATGGGAAATAAATCCAGGCTCTGTGGGCCTGGATGCATTAGCAGCCATATAGTGCTAGGAATGTAGAACACAGGGTCTATGCGATGGTCAGCTATGAACTTCAGTGATAAACAAAAGAAAAGGTAAAAGAATAACCCTTAGCATTCCAATATAGAGCTCAAAATCACCCAAGGAACTTTCTTTGACTTGGTCTGATACATGAATGAGATCATAAAACAGAAATGCTAATTTAGAAGTAAATACTTTGAGGAGGAAAGTTTATTGTCATAAATGAAAAAGCCATAATTCATAAAAAATAATTGTGTGTGACAATAAATGTTATTTTTCATATATGGCTCAATAATGTGTGGCTTAAAAGGAGATGGCTTAAACTATAAAGGAAACCCCTTAATTTAATTAAAACTTTTTTTTAAAAATGGGTTTGAAAGCATTTAAATAGTAAAGAAAAATGACATCTATCTTGTTTAGTATGACATAAAGTCCTAGTAGCTCATCGTCTTTTAAAATTAAAATCATCTAAAATTATTATGACTATAATGTAAAATTAGTCAAATTAATACATAAAATTTGATAAAATAGTGTGATTTTTATCTGGTATATATTTTATCAATATACTTGTTATTCATACTTTCATTTTCTTTATAAAATCTGCCTTAGTTTAGCAATAATTATTCATGTAGTTTTTGTATGATGCTCAATATCTGAATGAATATTCAAAAATCATCTCATTAATATTTAAAAATACAACTGCTAACAAACCATGCTTAAGCTTTCAGCTATGCTAGATTTTTGGCTCTACAGAAATATAACTACTGAGCCAAGAGTTTCTACATGATTTTCCAAAAAATGAGATCTGTACTAAAACCCAAGAAATAACACTACATTTATGGTTCTGAAATTTTTACTTTGTTTACAGTGATAAATAAAATAAACATTATTTGACAAATAAAAGAATGATTTCAACAAGAGAATTTTATATATGAGTTACTCTACTTAAAAGAGTATATTAAAGATTATATGTTCCACAAATGGTAACAGAAGCAATTCCTTTTCTTTCAGTCAGCAGTGATTCAGGAGATGAATCAGGTACCCATAGGGGTTCTTTAAACAAGGGTAAAAAATTCTATCATCAATGAAGCTGTGATGCCTAGAACTGAGGGCAAATATATGATGCAAAGTGATATTAACTTAGATATATAACTTCCTGTACAGATATTCCCTGAATTCTAAAAGCAACTATCCTCCAAATAAAATATAATACCAAAGTTTAGTGATCAGAGGCTGTATTATAACAGCAGGATACAAATGACACCTAGTTCAATTCTCTGTCTTACAAAGGAATCCAGGGAAAATAATCATTTTAGCTTCTTCATGAACACCCACAATCAAGGGAAGCTCAATTTGTAATATTGCTCAGAGACTTTTGGAAAGCTGTGTTAGAAAGCTTGTTGTTTAAATAAAGATAAAGATGCTTCAGCCTTTAAAATTTGTCCATATATTCATCTTAGTCTTGTCTTGTGGACTGTCACGGGATAGTCACAATTCCTTTTTGTACTTGATAGCTTTTCAATATTTAATGACAACTTTTATGCCCTCACTTTTTCAAAGTGTTTCCATTGAATTTTTATGGAAATGAAATACTCAGTACTCAACACTCAATAATTTCCCTTTCTTTCTCTTTTGGACACATTATTGGTTGCTAGTATTAAAATTTGCCAAAAACGATATAAATATATAGTACACAGAATAAAATACTACAACATTTAAGATGCATTCACCATTGCAAACCACAATTGGGCAATTGATCCCTTCATAGGACACTATTAGTTCAATTTATGAATGTGTTAAATTTTGCAACCACTTTTCATTACTAATACCAAGCCCATGGTCAAGAAAAACATGACTTAGTTATGCAGTACATTTTTGTACTGTAAGTCAGAACTTAACATTTATATCTATTGCTATTAGGTAGTAGCATGACATAGAATATGCTAACACAAGTCTCAGTATTTGTCTTGGGTGTGTCATATTGAAAAACACCAACATACTGTATTACCTAATTCATATTCTTCAGTGTCATACTAATGTACTTTTGTGTCTTATAAGTTGCATAAGACTGTACAAAGTCATCAACTATTAATACTAAAATTCCAATGAAAACATTTTTGTATGACAATTTACATTTAAAACTTCTTTTTTCTCTTGCTAACTTTTAGATAACTGTTTTAGACAAAATTTTAGAGCAATCAGAAAATTTAAAGTGCTGTCCCTAAGGCGGCTTTTTGATAGTTGATCATGCAATAGGATTAAGTGGTTATTCAAAGTAGAGACAATGATATGCTCAACCCCATCTTTGAGGCAGGACGATTTAACATTGACAACAAACCTTAGATTGACATTCATGTGCAGCATACATACATACATGTGGCACATGAAATGTGCATGAAGCCATAAAATGATATGTATGTAATCACGTGTAAAAAACAGATACACTGGTTTGCACTTGTTAAAGTTGTCCTCTAATAAACTCATATTTTATCTCATTCTCTTCTCTTTTGGGACAATTTTCTGTTAAGCAAAGACGGAGTTAGCGGGAGAGTTCTGAAACATTCATCTCCTTAAGTCCACGTCACAGCCTTGCACTGTGGCTCATCAAAGTCAGGTTGGAGCTGAGGGAGTCTGAGCTGTAACCAGCTGGTATTCCCATCCAACTCCTCCCCAGAAACACGCCCCTCCAATTCCTCAGCCAGAGGAGAGCCCAACCACAGGAGGACTTCCATTCCGTGAGGACACCCCCTGAGTAAAGTATACTCCGGGAACCATCCTCCGCTCTCGACCCCCCAAAAGTAGAACGCGCAGCTAGCGCCGCGCCTCCTTCCGGAGCCTCCTCCCGACTGCTGGCTAGGGGTGAGCGCCGGGGTTAGTCAGTCCGCACGTGACGCGCGATGCCCACATGACACCACCGTGGGCGGGGGAGGGGGACAGGGGAGTGAAGCAGGGAAAAAGTTACAGAAGACCCATCAAAGCTCCCAAAGCAATTTATTCCTTCTCTTCCTCGCCAGTTAGTGGTTCAGGGATATCTAGGGAACAACTGGGGACCCAGGCATCTCCAGTCCAGTTCTCGAAAAACTGGACGCAATTCTCCACTGGTCTCCCACCCTCTGCTCCTCCCAGCCCCACTGGTTATGCCGCTGCACCCTGGAGTTGCTCCTTCCTCCTTTCTTTCCCTTCCTTCTCCATCCCTCCTTCTTTCTTTCCTTCCTTCCTTCCTTCCCCCAAAGCTCTTCGTCCACTGCGGGCGATGCCACTGACGCACATTCAATTTGCCCCGGGAGCTCTGAGGAGGTCAGACAAGGCCGAATACCTTCCAAAGGGGAGGGTCTAACTACGCAAACAAAGTTGCACGCCACACCGCAACCTGCTCCTCCCCTCCCCTCGGCCCCCCAAGTCGGATACCCGGCACAGTTCACTTGCACCTCAGGTCCTCTCTCGACCCCACCCCACCATCGCGCAACACACCCCCTTCCACACGCGCGCCCACCCTTGCATTGCCCCGCTCCGCAAGCCGTCCCTCTGCCTGGCAAAGGACCCAGCCATCCGCTGCGCTCACCTTGCTTGACACATTTGAGCCGGAGGGGGTCCTTGCAGTGTTTGATCACAGCCAGCACGTCCCTGATGGTGAGCCCCGCCACGGGGGTCTCATTCACCTCCAACAGCAGCTCCTCCGACACCAACTTGCTGCCGCTTTCATAGGCCACCTTGCCGGGCTTCACCTCTCCCAGGTAGGGGAACTGTCCATTCTCGGCGCCCCCCTTCAATTCAAAGCCCAGCTGCCCCTCCGGGTTCCTGCCAATGACACTCTCATGGACTTTGCTAGTCCAGTGGCTTTTCTTTTTCAAGCTTTTGGACATGGCAGTGGGGTGAGTCTCCTCAGTTCCTGGGGTTCCTTTGGGGAGGGTGTTGGTATTGAGAGAACGAGGATGGAGGAGCAAGGGGGCAAAGGGGTGAGAAGAGCAGACTTTGCCTTCCTCCCCCCTCTGTTCGGTGCTTTCCCTCTTCTTTGGATGAAGTGTGGACGAGGAAGGGGGAGGATGAGAGGGACGGCTGGGCAGAGGTAGAAGAGCTTGGGTGAGGTTGTGCTGTCCCTTGAATGACACTCAAGGCTGTGGCCCCGCAGCAGAGGAAGCTGTGGTGGCGGCGGCGGCGGCGGCAGAGCCAGAGGAGCAGTAGCGAGCGGGTGGGGTGGGGGTGGGGAGAGAGGGTAGGGATGCCGGGGGCCACTCCTGCGTGGTGCGAGTGGGAGCGCGCGCGCGCGCCTGGGTGTGTGTTGTTAGCTGATATCCATGGCAGCTGCAGTGGCAGCGTCAGGGAGTGTGTGTGTGTGTGTGTGTGTGTGTGTGTGTACTAGTTGTACTGTACTGGCAGAGGGGAGGAGGCAAAGGAGGAGGGAATAAGCAGGAGAGGGAGGAGGGGCGCGCGCGCACCGGGTGGAGAGCCAGGGAGGGCTTCGCCGCTGTATCCCTCCCTCCTCAGCTTGACCCGGTAGTGAAGGCAGAGAGAGAGGCAGGCTGGGTCCGCCTGGCAGCCTACGGGAGGAGGCGGGAGTGGGGAAGGAGGGGAGACGAGGCCCGGCGTGGGGGAGGCCGGCAGCAAGGGCCGCTAGCCCATTGCGGACCTTTCTTCAGCCCCTGTAGTGTCCCAGCGGTGCGCTAGGCTGCAGCGCGAAGAGGACGCCCAGACTTCGTCTGACCCGAGCTCGGATGGAACAGAAATAGAGGGACCTCAACAGCTGGCGAACCGAGTGTCTGATGCCTCTTGGAGCCGGATCCTACCGTGAGAAAACTGGGGTGCAGAGACCTGGCGAGGAACTGCAGAAGGCCTGAGAGCCTGGAGGTCTGCGGTGGGGAGGAAGTCACTGTTGAGAGAGGCTGCATCGCTTCACTTTTGCAGTTGCTTAACTCTTTGCAAAGTTCTCAGAAGTCCCCCTCTGAGAAAGGAAAGTTAGAGAACTGAAGTCTGGTTGCTGTGATTGCGGGGAGAAGGTGAAGCAGAATCTTGGACTCCGAGCCCGGACTGAAACTTAGCAGAGGGCGGGGGTTGTCTCGTGACAGGCGATTGTAGGGATCTGAGTAAGGGGTTTCACTTTTTTCAGTAGGAGGAGCGGGAAGAAGAGGGCTACAGGGGTGAAGTTGGAGAGGAGACTGTTGCAGAGAGCAACCTCCTCAGAGAAATGGACAGCTTAATCCCAGACCAGAGGCCCAGGGAAGGCAGGGCACGCCCTGCCCAAAAGAGACGCCAGTCAGACTTGTACCTAAGGAAGAAACCTTAATATCATCTAGACAACCTCCTGCTACAGTGAAAAGAAAGAAGGTTTTGATCTGGACTGGAATTTAACTCTCTAACCCCCAACTGTCTCATTTCCTTTCACCAAGTTTTCAACCAGGAGGAAAGGTGAGGACAGGGCTCAAGAAAGCAGAAGGGCTGCTAATTTTCACTCTTAATGCCCTACAACGAGTGTTGTAGGACATTAAGAGTGATTTTTAAAATTTTTCTGTAACTGATAAATGAATTTCATTTGCTTAACTTTCAAATGATATGTTTCAGACAAAAAAAAAAAAGTCTAACACCCACTCATCTTTTTAAATCAGTGAACAAAAAGCATTGAGCAGTTAGGATTCTTGATGTCTGAGATGAAGGGAATGTGGGAGGCAAGCAGTACAGTTAAAAATGCTTCGAGGACCCAAACAGAGGGGGATTGAAGCCAGCCTCTGCTACTTAGGAGGAGCCAGGAGCATAGTATCAAGGAAACTCAGCTGAGACTCAGTTTCCTTCTTTGTTAAATGGGATTAATACTACTAATCTGAGAGGGCTGTGGTGAAGACTAAGTTAGGAAAAGCAGGCAGAACTCTTGCCTGGCACAGGTGGGTAGGCGTTCAAAATGGTAATTTCCTTCCTCTTTCCCTCCCTCACTGTTTGGGGGGAGAAAAAGATCAAACTAGGTCAGAACTGAAGAAGAACTTAAAGAAGGTTTGTTTAGCTTTGTGTCTTTTTTTCATGTAAGAAACCAGATCTCCAAAGAGTCAGCTGTGGCTGGTGAGGATTACTCCGTGATCCAGGGCCAGTGCCTGGGTGTGAAACCAGAGCTGCAGGTAGTGCTCAGAAACAGGCAAGATTTTGTAGCAAAGCCCAGTCTCACCAAAGGAAGTTAGGTTTTAGCAGGATGAGGCACTATCCTAAGTGGAAACTGAAAGTGAGAACAAAATATGTATTGGTTTAACACCAATTACGGGTTACCATGTATGGGTAGACAAATACTTATTAAGTTCTAAAAATATATCAGATATTCTTCTGTAGGCTTTATACTATGTATTTCTCCTAATACCTTAATAACATGGACATTGTTTTCATCCCTTTTTACATGTAAGGAAACTGAGGTACACAGGGATGTACTTTTGCAAGGCTACAGATCTAGTCAGTGTTGAAGCAAGCATCCATTCAGAGTTGAGTGTTTGTTTGTTTGCTGCAGACTTTGTCTCAGTCACTGTGTTGAACTCTCTCCCATGAACTTACCATGCATCATACCAGCTATGAGTACATAGTGCCTCCAAAGCTTGGTTCTATTCCATCTTTTAGGGACAGTTAGGAAAAATATAAAACTAATGGCGCAGGAATTTGATGCAAGAACATGCTCATCCTTCAGAACCCAGTGGAGTCATGGAAGTGCATGCCAGTTAATTTAGTGTTCCTTCGCTCCAAGTCTATTCTTGTTTGTCCTGAATTGTTATATTGGAGCTAAAATCTGTAATATTTGCTGTCATATTGCACAATATTAGGCTTTGTCAGCAGAAGGCGCTAGATTGGCACAGACAAAAAGGAGGGGCTCTTGGTCACTCAGTGGCTTTTAGGCCAGTGTGTCCAAGAGATCGTTGTTACTCACTCTCCAGTAAATTTGGGTAATTCTCCAGTCTGTGGCTTCCCTGTCAGTCTCACTGACATGTCAGTAGGTGGCCTCCTAGCAAGTTTTACCAGCAATGAAGCTGGTGATTACTGCCAGCCCAGTGAGCAACACCTGAACAAATTTCACGGCCATCCCATGAGCCATGGCATATGTTTTTTCCAATAGGGTCTGACTCTCAGCCTTGTAGAATGGTGGGTGAAGACCGGGGGAGTTCTTCCATGATATTAGCCTCCTGATTACTCCCCTGCAGTTCTAGAGGCAGTGACTGCTCCCTGTATCTGCTATCGCTGCATTCTTTAGTGGTCTCTATTTTTTTAGTATTCCATCCCTTTTGTTACTTAATAACTCTTCATATTAATTTTGTTCTCTTTCAGTTATGATACATGGTGTAAGAGGAACCCTGAACAGAGTTTAATCTTGGGAGTCATAAATTGATACTGTCTTTATTTAGAGAAACTTATGTGACATCTCATAGATTATTCCTTAATCTGAAAAAAAAATGAGGTGGTAATATATATATATATATGACAGGGTTAAGTATCATGTAAAATGTGAACTTGAAAGCTATCAGAATTGAAGGTATTAATTATCAGTATAGGAAATAGGGTAGCCAGAAAATGAGGATATTTTCTATAAAAATTGGGAATTTACTGGGGAAGGGGTTGATAGAATTTCTTGTCAAATTTATTGCCATCAGATGAATATTTTTGTTTGTATTTACTACCTTTTCAAAGATGAAAACAAGCTGTGAGTCTCAAATAATTTCAAATTTCCAGCTGTAAAAAAAATATGGCTGAAATCACAGCAATTTTGAAATGCTAGGTTCAGAATAATGTAGTTCATTTATATTCTGGCATCCTTCAGGTTTGCTTTATTTCTCCTTTGTCTTCTTTGACCTTTTTTGGAGATATATATATGAATTATTTCATCATTTAGACTTGTATAAGAAAAAAATTATGCTAGATATTCATTCTATCCCCCCCCCAAAAAAATGAAATTTTAAAAGATAAATGAAGAGAAGCCTGAGTGTGTTCCATTCTTAGAAGAGTTCTATGATGTCGATCCTTGTGACAGACACAGTCAGGCTCCACCCTGATGTCCTAGGATCCCTTTGAATCTGAGTGTCCTTTCCCCTTACTTCTGTTTTTTTTTTTTTTTTTCCAACAGCTTGCCCTGACACTCTCTTTGGAAGACTTCCCAAAGTTACTAGTCTCAGTTTGCCTAAGGTGCAGAGTTAGAAAGAACCAGTTGGAAGTTAACTTCTCCCCCAGAATGGACCTCATTATGTAGCCTGGCCCTCTTCCTATACTGGCAAGAAAATCTGAGGTCCATTTATACCTTAATTTCCCCCACAGAATCATGTTGGAGCTAGGATTTTGCATGAAATCACCTCTTACCCTAGCTTGCCTACTCTGATATCTTATGGGTTTTCATGAAAGGACTTTCTAAATAAATCATGTGTATACAATCCTCATCTCAGGGCATGATTCTGGGGTCCCTAATGTGAGCCATTGCCTTTCGTTTTTACAGATGAGGAAACCGAGGTTTGGTTATTTTAAATTGCCTGAAGTCACACTACCAATAAAGGATAGAGTTGTGATTTGAAACCTGTGTGACTCAAAGTTTTTACTACTAATGTTATATTACATTTAAACTCCTTAATACTAAGTGCATTTAAAGTAACTGAACAGATGTGGAAACAAAATTCAGCAATTGATTGATCAACAGATGTAAAAATGTTGTTCATATATTAAGAAATCTGTAAATGTTTGAGGAGGAAAGACTGTGGACAGTATGATCAACATGTGATGCACCTCATCCAAAAATCCTTATCAGAGATGTACTGACATGTCCCAAATTTTTGCCCAGTGGTAAATGTTCAGTGTGGTTCTCAATCAAGGGCTCTCTTCAAGCCAAGGTTGAATTGGATATTTCTATCAGTTTGCTACTGCTTCTGTAACAGATTAGTTGTTTAAAATCCAAGATGGGTCTCAACACGCCATGTTAGACTTCTGACCTCACAAACTGTGGATAATAAATTAAGGTGCTAATTGAGGATCTGCATTCCTTCTGGTGGCTTCAGGGGAGACTTCCTGCTGAGAGCCATTGCCAAGTAGGAATGACGCATCGCAATTTCTTTGTCAGCCTACTCCATGTTGCTTAGAGGAAGGACTCTCCATGGTGGACCCAGGTCATTTGCAGTGACTTTGCATGAAAGGTGACCTTGCTCAAGGACCAGGGCGGATCCGGGTTAGGGTGGATCAGGGTTTAGGGCAGATCGGGATTTAGGGCGTTCTGGGTTTAGGGGGGTTCCAGGTTTAAGGTGATTCCTGCTAGGAATGGGGCGTATCCTGCTGCCTCAAGCCCACCCGCTCCTTGAGTTCCCGTTGAGTTCTTGCGGTATTCAGAGAGTATTTTGGGATCCAGACCCCAGTGGAAGTGTGGATTTTCCCCAGAATGTGTTTGTAGAGTGCCGGTGTGAGTTCGGGAATAAAGAATTGCTGTTTGAATCTACAAGGCTGTGAGTGGCTCGTGATTTTGTGCCCAGCCAGGCTGCGGCAACTTCCTGTTCTTTGCATTTCTTGCTCCTAGAGATGGCCTAAATTTATTCAGTTGTGGTCCAGTTGCTCCATCTTCAAAACCAGCAATGGGGCCAGGTGTTGTGACACACGCCTGTAATCTCAGTGGCTTGGGAGGCTGAGGCAGAAGGATAGCGAATTCAAAGCCAGCCTCATCAAAAGCGAGGCTCTAAGCAACTCATTGAGTCCCTGTTTCTAAATAAGATACAGAATGGGGGTGGGGATGTGGCTCAGTGGATGAGTGCCCCTAAGTTAAATCCCAAGTACCAAAACAACAACAAAAAACAAAACAAAACAAAAAAACAGCAATGGCCACTCAGGTTCTTCTCACCTCCCTGTCACTGTATTTCAGACACTTCTGATGGCCTCTTCTAATTTTGGGGACTCTTGTGATTAAATCGGCCCCACCAAATAATCCAACATGATATCTCTATTCTGAAATCAGCTGCTTAGCCACCTTAGCTCTATCTGCAACTTTAATTTCCCTTTGTTCTGTAACATCACATATTCCTAGGTTTCAGAGTTTAGGATGTGGAACTCATTTCTCTTCACAGTATTATAAATCATTATGGCTCCTATCCATACTGCTTCTTGGTTCAGGTCAACAACATCGCTATTGTGTATTATTGTGGGTTTTTCATCACCCTTTTACCTCAAAAAACACTATTCTGTTGCCAGAATGAAATTTCTGAAACCACTCTTTTTCCTGTGTTTAAAATCCACTTGTTGTATACATTATGTACACAGCAAAGTCAAAACTCCTGATGTGGCTTTGATTCTCTGCCCCTTTCCTATCTCACTAGCTATGTTTCTTTATTTACCCCTAAGGTTGGAATTGGGGGCAACCAACCTGTGGGTTCTCCAGGATAAAAAAATGAAAGTAAATACACTTATAGCATCTATTCTAGGACCCTTGCAATATAAGACAGAAATTTCAACATTCAGATTTAATTATGCTTATATTAGAGCAATGTGGTACTTGAGCCGATCTCCCACCCTACCTGGGGCCTGGAGCAGCTAAGCCAGGTGTCCTACCCAAGGGTCAGGCCTGTATCTTCCCCTCCACTTTCAGTGTTTTGTTCCCACCTTCCTGAACTGCTTAATTGCCTTTGCTTACGTGGCTTCAGTCTGTGTTTGCCTAAAATACAACCCTCTATCTGTCCATCTTATAACTATTCATCCCCTAGACATACCTCTGGGGCCACCTTCTTTCCTTTCAGAAGCATTTCTGACTCTTCTTCCTGCTGCAAACACAATTCTCCTTTACATTTCCATGTATCATTTTTGGAAATATGACTTCTAAGTTATTTCCTTATTTTCATATCTCTCTTCCATAGCAGGAATGGGTGTGAATTTAAGGATGGATTCTATGTCTTACCCATCTTCACAGTCTTACACTGTCTGACACAATGTGAAAGCTCAGTAAAAGTTTGCATAATGGCAGATATGTCCAAAGTGAAAGTGCCTAAAATTTCATTATATGATCACTACTTAGTATGAATTCTTATCTATTTTATTAAATTATTATTCCTTTATACCCATAGTAGTATCTTATAATAATAAAATATAGAAAAGCTCATTACGACAAGGAAAAGACAAATATACCTAGATGTGAGCATGAGGACATGGGACAGCACTGCATCTGGGCAGAGTCTGAAGATGGTGCTGATGGTGATAAGGGACAGACTCAATGCACTCCATGTTGGCCCGTGAACATTCCTATTCCTAAACTCCTTTTCAATTTGTTATGATATTCACATGGAAACTTTTAGGCTTTTCTACCAAAATATCTCTAACAATTTTATAATCACCTCTCCTGTGAAGAACAATTTTATTTCAAGTTTCCAGTTTCACATCAAACTTCATATGAACTTTAGACTCTGTTCTCTAGTCAGCCCATATTTGTGCTACCATAAAATATGACTTTCTCCCCAAACTTGTTCTAAATGGAGCTGTGAAAGGATTTGCTATGTTTATCTGGTGATTTCCAGCATACTTGGCCCAACCCAGTGACTTCACAGGTATGCCCAGCTTAAGTTCAGCAACTAGAAATACAAACTAAAGTTCTGGAGAGAGTTTGGGCTATATATATATATATATATATATATATATATATATATATATATATGAGGA